TAAACAACAAGGAAATAAAAACAAATACCTGACTTGCCGATGTAAGATCAAATTGGTCCCACAGATCGGGAACCTTTCTTTTTCTTCTGTCCTATAATAATAGCTTGGAATTGCACCTCAAAAGACTTGTGATTCTCTTGGCAGAGATGCATCCCGTTGCCGGATGCGCTTCCTTATGAACACAGTTTGGCGCCTCAGTGACGGCAAAGCAGGAGCTGTATCGGTCACGTGACTTTCTTCAAACGATACGTGTACCGACACGGGCTTTGCTCCGTGAGCTCGACACATGCACGTCGGTGTTGTCGGACCCATCACCAGATACAAACTAGAGAGGAGGAAAAAACAGGTTAGTACACAAACGTGGTTTACAATCCAGCGTCGTATAGTGGACTGACGGTTGCTTATACTGTGGCTGGTGAATCATTGCAGGAGCTCCACTCCTCGCCACAGGTGTGATCACTCAGGAAATAATCCAATCCGCTGCACCTGGCTGCAGCCTGCACACTTGCCACGCACACGCTCTCATAGAGAGAAGGAAAGATGGAGAGGGAGAAGAGGAAAAGGGGAAGAGGACTGCCTCTAGGATGGGTCAGAGGTCGAGGGCATGACAGTGACAAAGACCCATGTGTATGAATGACTCCATCATAGAAAATAAAAAGTTATAGGAGTCATTGGAACCTCATGACTGCCACGATATACATTATGTGGTACAAGTGTATGTAAACTTTTGTTCACGACTATATGTTGACCTTTTTTTTGCCCTGCATGCTCTGCTGTGTATTTTTGCCCTGTAGTGGATTACATATGAGTAGTGTACAGACAAATGCAAACACCCACATATGCCTCACCCTTGTCTTCCTGGAACGATGTGAGAAAGGTTTTGTGGGAGGAGGGCAAAGTGATTAGCTACAAAAGCTCATTTAAGAAAAGAGCAACTCTTTCACAGAAATCATCCCGTTAACCTGAAAGTGAAAGAAGATCTCTGCACACATATTGATAACAGTGATAAAGGTCTTTGCGGTTTTGTTCTGTGAGTCATTATTTTCCATTTAAACTGTTTTATATTTTTCTGCAAAAAGTAAAGTTACACATTTCACCCCAAATAATTTCCAACAAATCTGCACATCTAAGTTTACCTGAGTATTGTAAAAAATCTCTGTATACCTTAAATGTATTCTGTGATGCACAGAGAGACAGTGAACTAATTTCTGCAGGTCTTTCTGCAGGTTATGTCATTTCTGGGAAATCAGCCTGATTCTTCTTTGTGTCGCCTCCCATCAATGAATAAACAGTGGGAGGCGGGTCTGTCTATGACTGGATATAACTTCTGAAACTGCAGCACTCCTTCAGATGTCGACACACATTTCTGCTGTAAGTACATCTATGTTCTTTTTGTTGCATTGTATGCACTGTTGTGTATCTGTTCTGTGTATTCTGAGCTCTGGGGTTCATCCAAAGGCTCTGGATCTGGAGGAAATGACAAACAGTGAGGAGCAACACAATAATAAACACTGTGTGTAGCTTAACACACTTAACTAATTCTTGGTGTACTGAAGCAATTCTCCATTTTGAAGTGTTAAAATAGCAAAGAGGGGCTCTACTGTATATGTTGGCTCTAACTCCACTTCACTGTACATTAAAGCTGTGACTCATGCCTTTTGATCACGGAACTGCAAATGAAACCTAACTGACGGTTATAGGAAGTGGTTTTGTTGAGGGCCATTGTCTGAAAAAAAGAACT